GAAAATCACACCAGGCACCTGTGTGTGTGTGTACGTGCCCAAAATCCCAAGAGAAGACTGGAGAAGAAGGGATTGCAGTGTGGCCATCCTCCCTAGGGGGTGATTTCTCACTTTCCCTCTCTCCATTTCTCTCCAGCCAGCGCACATGCCCCATGGGAAAGAAAAACCTAAAAAAATATGTCACAAAAGGACTTGTTTGGGTTCTCAAGGTGAGCCATGGCCTGAGCCAGGAAGAGTGTGAAGGCCCTAGCTCGCCCTAGCTCGCCCTGGGCGGTGCTTCCTGTCCTCAGGGCCGCCCTACCTGGCCCAGAGAAGGGGACTCCCGCACCCGGGGCCGGAGGTGCTCAGCGAGGACCCCCTGCGACCTGCACCAACGAGGGAGGCGAGTGCTGTGGGCCAGGGGAGCGGCCAGGGGAGCGTCCGGGTGAGGACGTGGCACTGGGTGGGCGTGCCCTGGGCCGTCTCAGCCTCTGCCTGCCTCTGCCATCTGGAGGCCAGCAGGGAGTGGAGGAGCCGACTTGGTGGTCCTGGCCGACCTGAGGAGCCCTCGAGGAGCCCTGGGAGCTCCCGAGCACTGCTGCGGGAACTGAGGCTGGGCCTGGCAGACAGCAGCGGGTCCTGCCGCAGTCCCCCTGGTGACGGCCACTCCCGTGTCTGCAGGGAGCAGTGTTTTCCTCGTCAGTACATGTGACGTCAAACTGGCTGCGTTACCGTCTTTAGTGTGCGATTCGGCGCCATGGAGGACGTTTTCCGCGCGTGCACCCGGTCTCCCTCTCCATTCTCCAGAACCTTCCCACCATCCCGGACGGAAGCGTGGTACTCGTTAAGTAGCAAGGCCCCCAGCTCCCTACCTGCCTGCTCCCCTTTCCCTGGTAACCGCCACAGTCCATCCGTCCCTCGGATTTGCTCCTCCGGACATTTGGCATGAACAGTCACAGACACGAGCCCGCCCGAGCCTGGCTTTCACTTCCCATTACACGGCTGAGGGGTGTCCTTGTAGGCGCGAACAGGTGCCAGCGTGGGCGCCGCGGGAGGGGCAGAGCCCCCTCTGGGCCACAGCCCTCTTCCGACCCCTCAGCTCCTGTGCTCACTCTCGCTTTCTCTCAGATGGGCGGCTCAAAACCCAGGGCCCTGTGCCCGTTTCGTCCTCCTGACCCTGCGGCCCTGGGGCCCTTCTTGGGCACTGCGCTGCCCAGAGCCTCGTTTTCCCCATCTGTGGAGCGGGTCTCAGGAGCCTCCTTCGGCGGGGTCGGGCTTCCCCACGCCAGCCCGGAGCTCTCGTGTGCGACCGCATGGCAGCGGGGGAAGGCGCTCCTCAGACGATGACTTTTCTTAACCGATTAAAAATTGATTCAGGAGCTTTGATGTATCAGGACTTAAGAGGCGTTGACAGGTCACGTGGTCTCTGAAAGCACAGGGCTGGTAATCCATTTAAAAAAACATTTTCTTGTCCTTCTTTTTAATTTAATGGAGGAAATCATTAGCTGGGAAATTGGCCGGCCGATGTGTTCCTGTTTGGGGAGGGGGTGGGACAGAAAGCCTGCTCCGATGGCTGCCTGTTCTAGAAACATGTCAGAAGGTCTCCCATCAGTGGGCCGGGCCTGCAGAGTGGGGCCATGTGGGCAGGGGGCCAGGGAGGGGGTTCTTCTCGGACCCAGGTGGGAGCTGTGACCAACAGCAGCAGTGGACCCTCTCCCAAACTCTAGGGAGCCTGCTGTGGCTCCCTGCTGCTCAGGTCCCTCCCTGGAGCCGAACTCAGCATGTGGTTCTGCGGCTGGGAGGCAGGATCCCGGAATCTCATGCTTGAGCCCTCATTCCCAGGGAAGCAGGACCAGGACCCCCGTCTGGGAAAAAGGACTACGTGCCTCTGGGGCTTCATCTGGTTCCAAGGGGAGGCAACTGGGTTCACCCTAAAAATAACCCAGATGCAAACAGCATCAACACGCAGATGTTTCTGGTGTCTGCGGCCAGTAATTTAGAGGTACAGCTGTTTCCCACTGTCCGTCTCTCTGTCCTGGGGCAGGAAGGAGCCCCGGGTGACCTGGGCCCTTCAGGGGTCACCCTCCTCTGCACCCCTGGTTGAGGTCTGTCTGGGTGCCTAGCTGCTATTGTGCATGGACACCCCTCCCCAGGGGCACCCAAGCTTGGGGGGTGGGGGTGCGGCATGAATCGCCTGTCACTTGCAGGCCCTCCAGGGTGCCTGTCACAGGGCTGGGGGCATGAGTAGGCCCGGCCGGATGCTGTGGTGGGGTCCACCTGACCCCCACCTACTAAGCTCAGCCAGCCCAGAAAAATAGGTCTTGGAGTTCTGAGGGGGAGGCCGTGAAAGGCCAGGAAGGATGTGGAGACGGTGGAGGGCAAGCGACCACCGAGGTTGTGGCCCAGCTCCAGAGCGATGGCCGCGCCTGGGCCAGCGCCAGACCTCCTGAGCCGCGCCCAGCCTGCTGCTCTTCTGAGGAGTGGGCTCCCATCTGCAGCCTGGTCCCTGAGCCTCTCTCAGCACAGAATCCAGGGTTCCAGGCCCTCCCTGGTCCCTGAGTCTGTACTGACACAGGCCACACTGGTGGCTGCTCCCTGTGAGGCTGAGGCATGTTGTCACATTAGCTGGGGACTTTTTCCTGCCCCATGAGTCATCCTTCCACAGGCACGTTAGGTCTGAGGGAAAACTGCAAAGCCTCAGCCCTTGGGGAGAAGCCCACTGTCTGGGAGGGAGTCCTGCCTTGCTGAACATGGACATGGTTGCCACTGGGCCTGGGGCCTCAGAATAAGGTGTAAGCTACGGGATGGGCCTAGAGTTAGTCTAGGAGTGGTGTGGCTTTAACTCTGGGCCAGGCGCAGACCCATGAGGCTCTAGTCTTCATCCATCCATTCATCCATCTGTCTATCCATCTATCCATCTATCCATCTCTTGTTCTATTCATCCACGCATCCATCCACCCATCCTTCCATTCATCCATCTATCCTTCCATCTATCCATCCATTCATCCATCTGTCTATCCATCTATCCATCTCCTGTTCTATTCATCCATCCATCTATCCATCCATCCATCCGTCTGTCTATCCATTTATCCATCTATCCATCTCTTGTTCTATTCATCAATCCATCCATTCATTCATCCGTCTGTCTATCCATCTATCCATCTCTTGTTCTATTCATCCATCCATCCATCCATCCATTCATTCATCCGTTTGTCTATCCATCTATCCATCTCTTGTTCTATTCGTCCATCCTTCCATCCTTCCTTCCATCCATCCATCTGTCCTTCCATTCATCCATCCATCCTTCCATTCATTCATCCATCCACCTGTTTTTCCATCATCCATTCATCCATCCACCCATCCACCCATTCATTTTCTCATTCATTCAGAAGGTTCCCTCAGTGCCTGCTGTGTGCTAGGTGATCTCCTAGGCCCTGGGGCTACAGCAGTGGGTACGGCCAGCAAGAACCCCTGCCTCTTGGAGCCTCCATTCTAATGGGAAAGACAGACAATGTAATAAAAGAATATGCCACGACACGGATGGATCTGTGAGACACAGTAAGTGACAGAAACCAGACACAGCAGGATTCCACTTAGCATGACTGCCGTGAGGTCACCAGACGGTCACCGTAGAACTCGAACTCGAGGGCAGAACTGTAGCAGCCTGGGGTGGGTGCCGGGGCGGGGAGTCTGGGTTAGGTGGGGCCGAGCTTCAGCAGGTGGACGGCGTGTGGTTGTGCAACAGCGCGAATGTGCTTGGCGCTGTGTGACCGCACACTTAAAACTGGTTAGGGGGAATTTGGCGTTGTGTGTATTCAACCGCAATTTAAAGCATAAGAGGAAAAAGAAAGAAGGAAAGTAAATAGTACATTAGATAGTGGCCGCTGCTCTGGAGGACCTCCGGAAAGTCAGAGAGTGCCACAGTTGGGTCGTGGCTGGGGTTAAGTGCTCAGGAAGAGTGGCCAGGGAAGGCCGCGAGCAGACCACACGGGGGTGGAGAAGAAGCTGCAGATGCCCAAGGCAGAGCAGAGGCCTGCCTGGAGCCTCACCAGGGAACAGAGGGGCCGGGCAGAACCTCCAGCCTCCCTGGGAGCTGATGGGAGAGAAGGCCTTTCTAGAGCTTTGAACAAGGCAGGACAAGCCGGGGGGCTTGAAGAGGGTCTTTCTGGCCAGTCTGCTGGGTGGGGGGGAGCAGGAGCCAGGAGAAGGCTTTGCAGGGCTGGGGCCATCCTCAGTTCTGGGGGAACCCGCTGCTGTTCACGGGCTCCCCACTGTGCCACGGCAGTTAGGACACTCTTAGCTTTGCGTCTTGTTTTTCTGGAATGTCCACTGGCACTCCCTCCTTACCACTCCCCTCTCCTGCTTGGGTGGGCTCAGGCGGGTTGGAGCAGGAGGCGGTGCCTTGCCCAGCTGTCAGTCCCTGCTGTCGGGGTTTCCAAAGTGCACACCCTGTTGCCTACCCGGCACGGGGGCAGTGATGTGCTTGACACCCCACAAAGCTGCACCCCGCTGCCTAGGCCCACTCCGGAGGAGTCTCCTCTCCGGAGGGTCACGCAGGGCCGGATAGCGGGGAGTTGGGGGTCTGGGCTTCAGACCTGCCTCTATTCTGACCTGATTTGTGACCTTAGAGAAATCGTTTTCCTTTCCAAGTATGGATTTCTGTATCTGAGAAGTGAGAGGGCGGGGCCGGTTTCTCCTCCAGACTGTCTGGCTGGTGCTGGGTGCTGGGGAGGTCTCCCAGGGTCTGCCCTGCAGCAGCCTAGAGCCAAGGACCCTCTGCACATCTCTGTGGGGGGCTGCGGCCCACGTTAGGGATGGGGGTGGTCCTTTCCAATCCTGAACCCTGCCCAGACATTCCATGGACGGCCTTAGGCGTTGCTGGGGGAAACGGGAGGAGGGGGTTCTAGAATGGGCGGAGAGGAGAGGCCGGCCGTCCAGAGGCCGTGTGTTTTGGAGACCGTGGTGCCCGCTCCCCAGCTCGTGGCTGTTTTGTTCCCTGGCAGCCCAACCATCCGCCCTCTGTCCACTTAGAGGGGCCTCGGGGGCCAGGCAGCAGACCGGAGCCTGCTCCTCCGCCCTGACGCTGGGGGTGAGTGGGGAAGCTGGAGGAGGGCAGGCTCCCGGGGCTGGCCTCCAGCCTGAACCACCCTCCTCGCTCATTCGCCCCTCATAGCCGCTCCGTCTGGGGAAAGCAGCGCTCTGCTCTGTAACCGTCTAAGGTTAACTGTAGACCAAGGTGCTACTGTGAAAACTCCCGCTTCCCGCTCACCCGGGCCGGCGCAAGTACTCAGTCCCTACCCTGGGCCGGCGGCAGGGCCGTGTGCACGGGGCACGTGTGGGCTGTGCCCAGCTCCTCCGAGCTTCCACCAGGCTAGAGGTTCTGCCTGTCTCTAGAGCAACCCCACAGCGTGTTACCCCATTTACAGGTGAGCAAGCGGAGGCTGGGAGGGGTGGTGAGTGCCGGGCGTGCCCTGGTGGTGCCAGGCAGGACTAGAGCCCAGATCGTCTGAACCGAAGCTGGGTGTGGGCTGGCGTGCCTGTGTGTCATTCTGCCCAACTGGAGGAGGCTGGAGGCAGGGTCCAGGGGACCCCCAAGCAAGTGTTCAGGAGTGGAGGTGCCAGGCCCAGCGGGCCGCAGGGGCACGGATCCGGGACCAGCGCCTGGCAGGCATGTCCGTGCAGGCGGAAGCGGGCTGGTGGTCACGGGCCAGCGGCTGAGTGGTGCAGGGTGTCCATGTAGAGTGACGGTGCCTGGCACTGTGGCTGTGCTCACTTAGGATGGTGGACATGGCCAGCTCCAGGTGACACGTAATTCCCCCGAGCAGACCTGGGGGAGGTGCAGGCGGTGGCCGTCCGATGCTCAGCACAAGCGTCTCCAACTCTGCTGCGCACCGGCTTCCCACTGAGACGTCAGGGGAGGAGCGAGAGCAGGACGCGAGGGCCCGAGGCCGTGGCCTTCGGAGGCAGGGTCAGGCAGAGCCTCTGCCTCCAGCGGCGTCCGGCGTTCCCTCCTGCCCCAGTGCTGGGCGGTGCTGCCCGTCCCAGAGGTGTGTCCCAGGGCCTCCCGGCCTGCACACCCCGAGCCCGACTTTTCGAAGTCCAGGTGCCCAGGAACCCCAGGTCAGGAGGATGGCAGTGTTACCCTTGCCCATCCCGAGGAAACGGAAGTCCACACGAGTGACCAGACTTCTGCTCTCCAAGAGGAGAAACTGAGGCTCCAACTCAAGCCCTCGGCTCCCCCACCCCATTTCTGCTATGCAGACTGGGGGGCACCAGGTGCTGAAGGCCAGGCCTACAGCTGCGATGGGCAGGCTGGTGGGGGCAGGGTGGGAGGCAGCGCCATGAGCTCATGCCCTTCCCCCTCCGGGCTGGCTACTACCTCCTCTGTCCCCAGGCTGGCCGTAGGTACCACAGCCCTCCCTGCCAGTGGGAGTGTGTGACTCAGGGTTTTTGGAAGCTGGGAGGCAGGTGGCGATCAGCAAGGCTCCGGTCCCCCCTCCCCGACACACACACACACCTACACGCACGCACACACACACACACGCACACGCACGCACACACACACACACGCACACGCACGCACACACACACACACGCACACGCACGCACACACACACACACGCACACGCACGCACACACACACACACGCACACGCACGCACACACACACACACGCACACGCACGCACACACACACACACGCACACGCACGCACACACACACACACGCACACGCACGCACACACACACACACGCACACACACACGCACCCGGGCCTGGGCTCCTAGGCCACGGGGAGGGGCCTGTGGTCTCCTCAGTCCCCTGGGGGTCGCCACTGCAGGCCCTGGCTGGGCAGCCCAGCTGGAGACAGCTGCTCTCTCCTCCCTGCCCACGGGTGGCGGGTGGTGGGGGTCGGGGCCCTTCCCGGCTGTCCCCCGGGCCCAGCGCGGTCGGTTGGTCGGTCGGGGAGGGGGGAGGCAGCAGCAGCACCGTGGGCTGGCTGGGCTGTCCGCCCTTCCTCCTCTGCATATGGCTCCGCGCCGCCTCAGGCTCTGCCAGCGGCTCCCCTTTCTCCATGGCAACTTAGCTCAGTGGTCCCAGCGGAGGAGAGCATCGATTCTCCCTCCCTCCCGCCTTCCCTCTCCTCCCCACCCCTTCCTTGGCCTCCCCTCATCCTCCTCGTCCCTGTCCCTGCCCCGGGGACACACACTCGGTGGTGTCCTCCCTGCTCCAGGATGGGCTGCCGGAGAGTCGTGTGCCTGCCGGGGGCGGTGCCCTGAGGTGGGCGGCATGGGGGGCTCCACGCGCCTCTGCAGGGATGGGGGCTGCTGTGCTCCAGCGGCCAGCGGCTCCCAGCCCCCTCCTTGGGCCCCCGCCCCCTTCCTCACGCCCGCCTTC